CAGACTGTGGGGGCAATATGCTGACTCTGTAAACCGCTTAGAGAGGGCTGAAAGTCCTATGAAGCGGTATATAAGTCTAACTGCTATTGCTATTGGGGGGGGGAACAGTCTCATTGCTGCATGCATGTATGGGGTGGATGTGTTCCTAAGCAATACCTGACTCTCCTTACATGCTTCGCGTGGCCTTGCGCCATCTCTGGCCCAGAATTTGGCCTTGTCCACGCTCTCCTGTCCTTTCAGAGGGCTAAGTGAGCCTGATGGTCTTCTGCTGTTCTTGTTTAGGGGGATATGGAGTCGAATGGGAAGTACATCACAAGGAAAGGCACCCGTGTGAACTATAATACTGGACCAATCGTGTGGGGTGAACCTGGAACCAATGGGCAGCATGCCTTCTATCAGCTGATTCACCAAGGTACAAAGAAGGGGTGGGTTTTTAAAGCCATCTTAGCCAATCAAAGAAGGCCGGAGTCCAATCTGTCTGGAGCCACTGTAGGAAAGCATTCGCTTCGGTGGGAGTTCCTGGGGGTCAAACGGCTGTGCCTTCCATCAAGTTAGTTTGTGGGAGAATTGAGGGAGTATAGGCTAACATTTAGAATACAAAGCTGTATGGTTTAACTGCACAGAACTTGTCCGCAAAGTTCTTGATAGCCAACATAGTTGTGTGATGTTCTCTGTACAGCAATCGTGATAGGATCAGACTCTGACCCTCCAGATCTTGTTGAGCTCCAGCTGGCCTCACCAGCAGATTGCATGACCGGGACCAGAGATGGGATAAGATGACCAGCAGGAGTTCCGTATCCCTGCTATTGTAAAATGACTTTTTCCTCTTTTTGCAGGTACTCGCATGATCCCTTGTGACTTTCTGATTCCAGCCCAGACCCAGAATCCAATCAGAAATGGCCTGCATCACAAGGTAAGCTCACTTTTCCTTAACTTCCTAACCTTCTTGTGCTAATCGTCCAGAGTCCATCACGTTTTATACAAGCAACCTTCCTTCCGCCAATAATTTCAAAGGGGCCAATTCATGAGACTCTTTCTTTTATACAGGGATAACTTTTCCCACTCTCAAAATAGTGTGTTGACCCTGCGTTTTCTTCTGTTGTTTTGAGAAATTATTATATTTCTCCATATAATGTTGCTGCCATTGTAAGGTGTACAATCTACATACCTGCGGCAAGAATCGACTGCTGTAATTTCTCTGTTTCAGCCATGATTTATTTGTGGACCCATTTCAAGTTGCAGACTTCGAAGAGAGTCTGGCTGCTGGAAAGGCAAAACACAAGCCAGGGTGTGGATCCATGCAGTTCTAAAGACCCTGGTGTGACCCAGCAGAGTTCAGGAAGGCACCTCAACCTGTGTCAGGTCCCCCTTCATCTGTCCTGGCATTCTGGAATTTTAGCCGGAGAAAGATCTTTCTTTAACTAGCAAAGCTGAGAAACTAAAGCCCAAATATCCCATGTGAAAATGTGTCCTTTGCCCCAAAGTCACATCAAAAGGTGGGGGCATAACAAAAGAAAAGACACACATCTCTATACTTCTGCCATATCTAAATGTCTCCCTCTTTTCTAGTGAGCCCATTTCTCCTGTTTTCAGGGAAAAGTATAAGACAGCTGAGTTGCATGTAAATTGGATGCTTTCCTAATTTCCTCAGGCTGGACTTAGGGGGCAGATTTAGGTTTGGCCTTTTGGCATTTGCCTTGTTGCCCTGGAATGCCCGCCGGGCATCTTTTGACCTCCCTGTTGTTTAGCTGGTGATCCTACAGACATTGTAGCTGCTCTTCAGCAGAACTTCTGAATTCTGCAGAGTTGATAGAGAAGTTGTTTGTCCCAGCCAGGTGCCCAACTTGCCATTCTTTTTTTTTTTTAATAAATTTTTTTAATTTAAAACAAATACAACATCCTTCTTTACATGCTATAGANTCCAATCTCCCACTGCCATGCTGGCACCTTCCACCCATCCAGTTCCGGTCAGGTGCAGAGACAAAGGATGACCTTGGCTTTCTAGAAAGAATTTTGTTGTGGCTACATAGCATCTAACTCCGTACAATCCCCCCATTTCATCACAATAGAAAATGCATAGCAGAATAATAGAAGGTGTGGCAGGCTAAAGACCCAAAAGAAAAGATGGCTGCAGGCCTCACATTGCCCCTCCCCCTTTGCTTTTCAAGCCAAAGTTCCTGATGCAGAAGAGAGGGGCATCCATTGCTAAAGCTGTATCCAAACCATGGACTCCCAACTCTGCTTTAGGAGGGAGCCACTATTCATCCCGGTCAGATTAAACTTGGCACAGAAGGGGATTTTACTTGGGGTGAAGCACCCATTCCTGAAAGGGGCATCTGCCTACCCAGTTTCACCCAAGCTGTTTTATTAAACGCCTTGCAGCGTTGAGTGGCTTGTGATGCGGCACGACAACATGAGAATGCTTTGATGACTTGGATGCTTTTCCTTGGACTATGGCCAGAGGGAGAGTGGCCTTTTCAGAGATGGTCTATAAATAGGCTTCTCAAGTTATTCCTTCTATTCTCCAGTAGCTTCTCTGCTATCTGTTTCCTATCAGATTATCTTTGGCAGGGATGGTTAGCTGATAAAAGCCTAGTTTTTGAAAGTGTAGAGGAAAGACTAGTTTTTGAAAGTGTAGAGGAATCAATGAGGACCCATTAATGAGTTTCTGGGACGGGACTATAGCCTAGAGCAGGGGTGTCAAACCGAAGGTCCAGGAGCCAGATCTGACCTGCGGGATACTTAGATCTGGTCCGCTAGCCACGCCCACCCCAGCTCCCTGAGGTCAAACACAACCCTCAATGAAATAGAGTGACACCCCTGGCCTAGATTGACCCAGGAGGACTCTTACGTGATATTGTCCAGCTGAAGGCATAACGGAAGTGGTGTCCAGATTGCAGTCACAACAGGAGCAGTATTATTGGGGTGTCCCTGATGTTCCTCAACAACAGCCTAAAAACACACACATACACACTTTCCAGCAATGAGTTCTCAGCCTTCCAGGTCGCTAATTGGCTCTGTTCCAAAGTGCACAATGCATGCTGGCAGCTGGGGAGGCCCAGCTGTTGAATTAGCTGGCAACCTGTGGCTGTGTCCAGCTTTCTGGACTCCCTCTGAATGGAAAAGGGGGAAGGATTCTTGATTCCCATAGCAGTCTGTAAATTGCCAAGGGACCCATCTATGGGAGCCTCCGAACCGTTGGGTGGTATCTCATCCAGGCCTGCCTCTCACTTGTTCAGGTCCTTTGCTTCCCTGCCTTCATCCTTGCCTGAGTCAGTTGTAGTCTCTCATGCCAGGCTGCCTGCTGGCAGTAGGCCTTCCTGCTCCCTAGAAACTTTGGGTTCTTTCAGTCCTTATTTGTGGGAGCGGAGCACGCATGTCATATTAATCCTAATTCATCTGGTTTATCTTAATGATCAGTTTCTTAGGACCTCAGTTGCCTTCCTCGTATCCAAAGCAGAACATCTAGATTCAGTTGTGTTCCATATACCCCGTTTCCCTGAAAACAAGACCCTCCAATGGGGCTTTTGAGCACATGCACTAAAATAAGCCCTCCTTGAAAATATTGCAACACAGTAGCAGCCATGAGGTGACCACGCTCGCTGCCTCCTGCACCTCAAAAATAATAAGACCTCCCCCAAAATAAGACCCTATCTTATTTTCCAGGAAACACGGTAGTATCAACCTTGTGAACTCTCCTCTTTCCATTATGTATTCAAAATGGACAATGATTTGTCTGTCTGCCATCTATCCCCTATCTATCATCTATGGGTTTAGGTATATATGTATGTATATAGCATGTATATATGTGTGTTATGGGTAGCTGTATACTTTCTCTTGAGAGCAACAATGACAGAATGTCATTGTTAATGTGGCCCAGTTGCTCGTGGTAAAAAATGGCAATAAAGGCTATCTTAATCTTGCAGTTCCCCCAGAGTTGCCTTTCTTAAACTGGGGCCATTAAAAAATCGCATTTTGGCATCTCTGAAGGCTCTCACTGGGATGAAGCCTCTCTGGAGCTCACTGTGCAATGGTGAGCATTACCCATAGGCTGCCTTGAATCAAGACGGAGAGCAGCTTTTCTCTTGATTTGCCTTCTCTGGAGGAATTTCTTTAAGCATGACTTAAATCTCACAACATAGAAGCGACTACTGGCTGCTCCAGAGGGATCCTTTGCTCCTCAGACGATGTAATGTTGAAAAAGTGAAAAAATATTGGCTCAAAATATAGGTAACGATGCAGATTAATTTTCAAAATTAATATGGAGATGAAACCAGAATTACTTCTATTAGGTCTCACAGAGAACCAAATAGAAAAGACTCATGGAAAATTGGTTTTATATACGATGATTGCAGGGAGGCTGTTATTTATGTGCACAAAGATGGAAAAAATGGAGGGTTGGACTGTGAAGATGATGGGATTAGCAGAAGAGACAAAATTGAGCTGATTGACCAAAGTTGAAACAATAAGTAATTTATTATAAAAGACAGGAAAAGGGCTTGATGGACTTTTTGTTGAAAATGAATGCAAAAGAAATGACTTCTATATTTGCTGATTGAAAAGGGCTGAATAGGTTCACTGATGAAGTGAGCCTTGATGGGGGGAGGAGTTACAATGGGTTTGTAACTGCTGTAAGAAAAAAAAATCAGAAATCACTACTTTAAATATTTCTTTTCCTTTATTTAATTTTCTATATTTTTTCGTGTTCATCTTTTATTGGTTTTAAAAATTTCTCATAAATCTTATGTTTAAAAACTTGTAACATTGCTCTCATTGGTTTATTTTGTTTACTTAAAGCCTTCTGCTGTGGCCAAGCACTTTGCTGCCCTCTCTACCAATGGGGTGAGTACATATCGCTGGGAGCCTTCGCCTGCGAATGCCTATCCTTGGGAGGCGGCGGGGGACGACGGCTGGGAAATACATCCTTACAAACCTCCATATGTGCTTTCTCTTCTCTTGGTATTTCAGCCTAAAGTCAAAGACTTCGGAATTGACACTGCAAATATGTTTGAGTTCTGGGATGTAAGTAAAATCTATGTAGGGTCACCATTACTTGGACAGTTTTTCCCTCTCACCGTCAGCATCCTTTTGGAGAAGGTGTTATGCCCCCTCCACAGCCATGTGTTCAACACAGGTCCTGAAACACCCTGATTCACTTGAAATACTGGTGGTGTAAAGCTTTTCTTCCCACCTCACATCTCTTTTCTAATAGTTTTGGAATATAAATCCACTCCCCCCCCCCAATGGATCCTGTCCTCTGGCAGCAATGCTCAAAGAACTCAGACTTTTGCCACCCCCCCCCCCTTTTCCTGGGCTGTGGCCTCCGTTGCAGGAGCAGTAGTGGATGTGGGGCAGAACGGCCAAGAGGGGCACATGGGATTTGCCGTGGCAGCAGCAGTGCCAGGGCAGGGCATCTGCAATTGCTCCTCAGCTCTTTTGCCAGGGGCTCCTCAGTGGCCAGGCCCATCCTGCTCTTCATCTTGGTTTAAACAGCTGCTGGGTAAAAAGAGCTTTAATTGCTTTCAGGCCGATCCAAAGATGCTATTATAAGCCGTGACATTTGCCTGTGAAAGCTTGTCACTTGGGCCGCTAAAGGTCACATCTTGTTGGAGACCCCTGAATCTCCCAAGTGATTGCAGCAAAATGGCTTTGGCAATAAAGTTTTTGGGAAGCTGTGGGCTGCGTGGCAGAAGTGCAATCTTGATTGTAGGGCTAATCATTTAAATGGGGAGCCTTGATCATCTCATATGCAAAGCCCTAGGAGGTTGGCTCTGAGTAATCTGCCTTTTGGAGGAAGGCGGGGAATATTTGTCAGTTGCAATATTTATTTCCCTGCTTGTTAATCTTAGTAACATATCAAGTATCCCATCTGACTTTCTTCTTCTCACGTATAGAACAGGGCAGAACTTGGAAGGGTGGCCACAGGGTGCTTCTTCATGCCGGATGCTCTTCTAGACTTTGTGCCCCCCCCCTCCCCAAAGCTTCCATTTTCACTCCTATGCTCCAGATAAATGTAACCTCTGTTTCTCCTTCCACCCTCTCCCTTTGCAGTGGGTCGGTGGACGTTACTCGCTATGGTCGGCCATTGGCCTCTCCATTGCTCTGCATATTGGTATGTATCTGCTTCCCTCTGAACCGACTGTTCCATGGGGGGTGATGAAAGCTAGTTTAGCTGAATAACTGATTGGGTCTTTCTTAAGGCAGCTTCTCCTGAGGAAAGAAATGCTTTTAAAACACCTTGGAAGGTTGTGGTATTCCATCAATCTTTTGCGCTTCCATGCTTACCTGAATAGTTTATTTGGCCAAGTGGGATTAGGAACACCAGAAATTTGTTGCCTGTACAAAACCGCTCAATGCACATGCCAAGCAGCATAATGAGGAGGAGGAAGAAGAAGAAATGAATGGTACCAATAGCAGTAGGAGTTATTGGAGCAATACCCGAAGAGTTGCCTAGGTACATGGACATTTTGAACTTATTACACCTGGATATTCTGACTTTGCAAAAAAAAGAACCCCACCTTACTTGGAACTGCCTATATAGTCAGATGCTCCCTTAAGAGCTCTTAGGTCCTTGGGTAGGACTTGGACTGTGAAATTTTTACCAGTCCCAGACTGTGAATCCAATTGAAGATCAACCATAATAATAGCAATAGCAATAATCTCCCAGTGACATAATACCTTGACTTTCATACATTGGAAGAAGTTGGGGTTCGAAGGCAGCAAAAATGACTGGGAGCACCCAATTCACAAAGTTCTTGAAAATGAGCAATTCAAGGTCATGTGGGACTTTTGGGTCGAAAGAGACGCTTGTGGAAAAGAAAAAAGTCAGGTCCATTGATATTGCAATGCCAGGGGATGCACCAATTGAGGAGACACTGCTAGAAAAAATAACAAACTCCTGTGATTTGCACCTTCCAGATATTCAGCTGTGGGATCCCCATAGGAGGCAGATGGTCTGGAGGGAGGGGACCAAGAGTCTTCTGATCAGGCAGAGGGAGGGTCTTTTAGCCACATGAGTATTTACTTCAAAACCCCTCGAGGGCAATGATTTGGGCAGCAGCACATAGGATTCCGCCTTTGACTTTAAGGCCTGCGTTCTTGAAATGTTACATACATAATAATATAACAATTTTATTTAGGTTTTGACAATTTTGAGAAACTGCTGGCAGGAGCCCATTGGATGGTAAGTCCCTGAACCTTCTCGGCAGCTGATCTGGAGTTGGGGGAAATAGGGGCCTGTGGGCTCTATGTGGCCCTCGAGTTACACTCCCAAAGAATAACAAGCAAATTGCTGCCCACGGAGAGGATTCTGAACTATTGGGCCCAGGTTAGAATTCCCTCTGGCTAAAATGGCCTCAGCTTAAAAAAAAAACAATGTTTCTCCTAGCAGTGGATCTAAATTGGGAAGCCCTAAAAATCTCCGCATTCCATTAGAGTTTTGCCCTGGGCCTTCTAGGGGTCCAGCTTGTCCTATTAATCCAGTTTTGTTTTTATGCTCCTCGCCCCAAAGGACAACCACTTCCGCTCAGCTCCCTTGGAGAAGAATGTCCCCGTTCTGCTGGCGATGTTGGGGGTCTGGTACATCAACTGTTACGGCACAGAGACCCATGCGCTGCTGCCCTATGACCAGTACATGCACCGCTTTGCTGCTTACTTTCAGCAGGTGAGGTGACTCCTTTGTGTTCTCTAGCAGAAGGGGTTCTCGCATGGAGAGGGGGGTTGAGGGCCATGCTTCTTTGAGGGTGGTCCTGAAGAGTGCTGTACTGCAGCCATTTCAGCTGACTGTTAGCTGCAGTTCAGCGGTTCAAATCTCACCGGCTCAAGGTTGACTNGACCCGTCCAATTTCCTTTGGAATAGGGGAATTTCAGGAATAACCTGAAACTCCGTCTTCTCACTGCTAAGCCCCGCCTTCTTTCCCCCCAACTTGCCATTCTAACCTCTGGCTTTTCCCTGCTAGATTCTTCTGGCCAACTTTCTCGCTCAAACAGAGGCATTAATGAAAGGGAAGACGACAGAGGAGGCCCGCCAGGAGTTACAAGCCACTGGACTAAGTGGAGAGGCTCTGGAGAAGCTCCTTCCACATAAGGTACTTGGAATCCAGCTTTCCCCCAGATCTCAGTGGGAGCCCACTTACCGTGCCTTCCTTCCGTTTGCTCCCTGATTTGCTCAATGGATGGTGGATTGGATGGTGGATTGGATGGTCCTCTCAAAGAGGAAGGGATCAAGGCTTGTGCCCTAGATGCTGTGGGTTGCCATTTAGGCTGCTGCCGTTGATTAGGAGCTTTCAGAGGATGAGCCTTTTAATCCACCTGGATAGAGGGCAGAGCCTGAGATTGGTGAGCTGCGTCCAGCTTGAGCTTGCTTTAAAGGGACATGAGGAATTGTGGGAGTCTGTTCCAAAGGGGTTGCAACCAGGAGCTTCTCTGTATGAGGAGGTGGTAACATTGGGGATGCCTAGGAACACGGTTTATGTTTATGAAGCCAACCCTAAACTTTCTTGACTTCAAGATACTGTGTTTATATAGTGTTTATCACTAGCAGATGTGTCTGAACATTGAAACTTCACCTCTGTCTCTTTCTTGAAAGGTCTTTGAAGGAAACCGCCCAACCAATTCCATTGTCTTTACTAAACTTACTCCATTCATTCTTGGATCCTTAATTGGTAAGTTTTTCCTCTTCCATATTTTTGTTTCTTGACTTAAATATATTGTCTCAAAAGACTTATTATTAACACTGCTCTCTCATTGAAAACAATCTTTTTCCAGCAATGTATGAACACAAGATCTTTGTTCAAGGAATTGTATGGGATATTAATAGCTATGACCAGTGGGGGTAAGTGTCCTACCATATACAAATTATTAATGGTGTTTGTTTCCACTCACTGAGATTGTATCCTTGGCTTTTCCTGGGAGTTAGAAGCTCCTTACTTAGTCAGTTCAATTTGTTTGGCTGCCCATCTCAAAGAAGTGATTCTGGGCAATGAGCAGTCGTAAAATCAATCAATGTTCTGCGTTCCTTACAAGGCAAAATGAATTTAAGCTGCCTGGTTTGGAGAAAAAGAATTGAATCTGGGCTGAAGATCAAAGGTGCCTGCTGTCGGGGTTCCGACCAATGCCCTAATTGGAAGGCTTTGCGAGTTGACACCTTCCCTGCAACACAAATGGCCATAGCCATAAAACCTCTTTTTGGTACATTTTCTCCCAGTTTAGGTTAACATATTGAATGACCCGGTCAACTTCTAATGAAAAGATTCCAATCTTTTCTCAACGTTTGAGAAGTTAGTTGGGTAACTTTTTACCATTTAATGTTTGTGTAGTTGTGAATTTGGTTTTTGTCCCCTAAATGTTTGTGATGGTGTGCTAAGCCATAAACTGTGGATTACAAGGAACAGTGGTTGGAGTCCCACAACAAAACATGTTTCAGTCTGGTTTTGACATCAGGCGCAGCTGTCCTCTCCTGTTATCTTACAAGGGGATTTCGCAACAATTGGGGATGGTGAGAATAGGAATTTGCTGCCTGTTTTAAAGCTTTTCATTCTGGAGCCTGAATTTTCCTCCTCTTTTTGCTTTCTTAAGTGTTGAGCTTGGAAAACAATTGGCCAAGAAAATTGAGCCTGAACTGGCAACTGATGCACCAGTCACCTCCCACGATGGCTCAACTAACGGGTTAATCGCCTTCATCAAGAAGCACCGAGCCTGACCGCAACAGGCTTCATGGCTGATGCACAGATCAGTGTTGTAGCTGCTGCTTTTGTTAGCCACTTCCCAGGCCAGACTTCTCAAGAGTTCCAGCCTCATTGTTCTTCATGGTTAGCTTTGTTGTATCGGAAGCAGTGTTTGTAAAGGAACCCTTACAAAATCTAGAAACTTGACCTAGTGACTGTTTCATGGCAACTGTGATGTGTAGAGCACCGCATCCCTTCCGTGTCAGTCCCCGTGCTTGGCCCTGCTGCGGAGACGGGGGCAGCCTGTAGAAGGTGGTTAAACCTTTTCCGTGTTGTCTTGTGAAGACCCAGCCTTACATGCACTGAAATAAACCAGAATTAATCATCACATTTCTCTTTCTCTTCTTCCTTATTTGGACTGTAAGTTGTCTTGGTCTGTGTACAGAGGGACTCAAGCATCCTGAGACCCTTCAAAGTTAGATTTTTCATCCTCAGAAAAAAGGCTTCATGCTATCTCGAGATTCCCAGTCCAGAGAACTGTGGTGGTCTCCCTATGGAACGCTTTGATGAATGGCTCCTGCTAAGTCCATTTTGACATCAGAAGTCATCACAAAGGGAAAAATTGCGGTCAGGTGAGGTTTGTAACACAAATCCACAAATATTCAGAGGTTTCTTGAAAAGGCGGCATGTTGAGGGAGTGTAGACCGCCCCGAGCCCCCTCCCCGTTGTTCTCTCTTCTCTGGTTCTGCCCTTTGAGGAAAGGTTGAGAATGTCTAATGGTCTGCAGGCCAGGCCAGGCCAGGTTGGGGGCATCAAATTCCATCTCTCTCTTAATTTCCAAAGAGCCACTTGGTCAAAAAAGAATGATCTCTCCTCCCCCCCTCCCTTCTCTGTCACTCACAGACACTCACACGTATCAGTGGTGGGTTCCGGTATGGTTGGAACGGGCCCGGTGGTGTCCATATGGATGCGTGCAGCGTCTTAGTGCCTCTGCGAGCCTCCGTGACGCTCCAGCTGCTCAGTGGAGCATTGTGCAGGCGCTGTATGTGCCGTGCACAGAAGTACCGAAGACTTAAAAGATCAGTGAGGAGCTTGGGTGGGCAGGTGGGCCCTCCGAAGCTCCGTACCGGAACAGTATCCGGTGCTCCGGGCAGGCTCCGGTACACCTGTACCGGGGCATACCACCTGCCAACCCACCACTGACACATACACCCCACAGAAATACAGATAAGAGCAATAGCTCTTACACTTAAGAGAGGGCTGTAAAGCACTATGGAGTACTAAGTGGTTTAAAATATCACCATAATATTGCCCCCAACAATCTGGGTCCTCATTTTACCGACCTCGGAAGGATGGAAGGCTGAGTCAACCTTGAGCCGATGAGAATCAAACTCCTGACAGTTGGCAGAGTTAGCCTGCAGTACTGCATTCAAACCACTGCACTAATAAACTAGTAAATAAACTCTGTCTTGGTGGATCGCCACAGCTCTCCACAGCTTTTGTCCAGTCGGAGAGATCCAGTCCAGGAGGGACCTGGATGAAGCCTCCCTCCAACATTCAATCTCCTGGTTGCTTCCCTTGAGCAGACATAGCATACATGGTCCTCACGGTGGAGGTGGTGTCCTTTCAGGGTTGACAGTAATCACAGATTCCACTTAATGTCAAACCTGCCCCAGAACACCTTAACCGCCCCCCCTCCCCCCCACACACAAATAATGTGTTTGTGGGTAGCCAATCT